TGTGCTTGTCTGGTAACCTCCTGAAACTGACTTCCCACCCCCTCCCAACGGTGGCATTTCTTTAAGGATTAAGCATCTGTCCTTAGGCTAGGAACTGATTGCTGCGCTCACCTGTGACCGCCCAGCTCAAGACAATAGACTTGCCTCCTGCTACGCCCTCTGAAATAGCAGACCCACTATCTGCTGTGTCCATCAAGCGCTGTGCCGACAGGGCAATCTTGTGACTATTGTGGGAGGGGCATTTCAATCATATGTGAAATATCCTGTTTAGGCATATATAACCACTCTGTGCACCCCACTTCTTTGGTGCCCTTTCTTCCTTCAGGAAGAAAGGCCCCAGGCCATGGTTCCTCATAAATCTTTGTTTAATTTTCTCTTGCAATTCTGCCTCATGTGAATTTAATTTGTCCTCCGGCCAGACGAACCCACATTTAGGTAGAGGAAAAGTCTTCCTCCCTACAATGGCTAGTCAAATGCTTAAAAAAAAAAAAATCATCTCAGTAAAGCAGGCATGTAAACTAGAAAGCCAGTTATGATTAAAAAGTGATAACAGTTCAGGGGTAATTTACTGAACTTTGTCATGGACAGAAGTGCTGAGGCTCAGCAGATAATGGAGGCGCATTAGCACCTCTACCAGAGCCCACAGAAAGGAGAGAGGGACGCAGATGGAGCCCAAGCTGAAGGTGTGGTCAGAGAGCAGGAAGGGCCTGGCAGAGGGCCAGGGAAGGTGCCAGCGGAGGGGGGATGCTTTTTTAAATCACCAAATCCAGACATCACAGGTGTTCTGCTGTTAAATGGATGCAGCATAAACTATCTGAAAGCCTCAAATAACAGACAACGTTGGTATGTTGGAAGAGTCTTTAGAGTAAAAGTATATTTGTGATGTATGGCAGATAGGGCACACCCGCAGATATGCTTTGGCTAATTACGTTGCAAGATTAATGGCTGTATCTATGTAGTCTGTGATTGCTTAGCTCACTTGATCAAAGTAATGGTCATAAAATATGATCTATGACCCTTCAAAATAAGAGTCATACATCACAGGTAACGTGCAGACTGGCCAGACAGTAAAGACAGAACATACTTCTGTGGGGTTGAGTCTCTCAGAAACAAAAGAGGAAGGGATTACTTTTATTTTGATTGAATTTACACTAACATCAATCCTAGTTAAGGGCACTGCATTCCTGTTGTTGACAACACCAGAAATACAGAGAATAAGAAAAGCAAGATTATGTTGCCTCAGAAGCATTCTGCTTAAAGGGAGTCAGCCTGCTGGCGTGGGAAATGAGAAGACACTGGCAGAACACGCACACAAAGCCTTTCTCCTCCACATTGCTCCACGTCCAGCTGCCGCACTACCTCTTCTTCCTCTTTCTCAGCCCTCTTCGCACAGCACTCTTTGCAGACATTATGTGCAGCACAAAAGTAGAGTGTGTAGACAGCAGTGGAGCAGGTCGAGAGGAAGTGCCCTTCTTGAGGGTTTTAGTGGCAGAGAATAGATGTGGTCGAAATTCTGAGGGAGGTTTGACACACTAATTAGTTTGTGAGAATCTCAGTTTACAACATGGCAGTCCTGCACAAACGTGATTTTTTTACTTCAGATGGGACAGTTTCCTTTGCTCTGTTCAGTGGCCACCAACTGGATCCTTAGTTTCACTTAACTTCTTGGAAAATGCATGTTGGTGTTCACAAAGAGGACAGGAGGGCAGTGGGCAAATGTCTCACCACTTCTGGCAAGTAACAAAAATAAAAACCAAAAACCTCAAAGAAGGTGGGGATGATAATTGAGTGAGTTCTGTTGCCTTTGGAGATGAAGATGAACACAATTTCACTTATGCAAATGAAGCAAGAACGTCATTTAGCAGTGGCTTTGAGAACAGCGAGCGAGCACTGGTCCTTCAAGGGATGGTCTTTCAGAACCCATCCTTTAAATTATTGGATCTTTCTATTGTTCCTCACTTCTAAGAAAAGATGGCCCAGGGTGGGTGCTTAAATGAATACCAAAACTAGCAATGCCTTTGGAATAATAAAGGAGGAAAGTAGGCATAATTTCTCTTCCTTTTTTCCTTTATTTTAATGATGAGTCACTGGTTCCGGTTAGGTAGATGAGCTTGAACTTACCAGACGACTATCTTTTGCTTTACTTGAGGGTTTTGAATCAGGTCTTATATTGGGCAAGTATACTTCATTTGAATTCCTCACAATCTTTTTTTTTTTTAAAGACTCCTTTTTCAGAACAGTTTTAGGTTTACAACTAGGTTGAGGGGAAGGTACAAAGATTTCTCATATACCCTCTCGTCTCCCCCACACACAGCCTCGCTCATTATCTCCCAAATAGTATGTTTTTTACCAAGGATGAAACTACATTGACATATCACAATACCCCATGTCCATAGTCACCTCCGGGTTCACACTTGGTGTTGTATATTTTATGGGTTTGGAGAAATGTACAATGATATTTACCCATCGTCATAATATACAGAGTATTTTCACTGCCCTAAAAAAATCCTCTAAGCTCTGCCTTTTCATCTCTTCCCTCCCAACCCCATTCTTGGCAGCCACTGAAATTTTTACTGTCTCCATAGTTTATCCTCTTCCAGAATGTCATATAGTTGTTGGAATCACACAGTATCTAGCCTTTTCAGATTGGCTTCTTTCACTTAGTGACATGCATTTTCGGTTCTTCCGTGTCTTTTCATGGCTTGATAGCTCATTCCTTTTTAGCACTGAATAAGACTCCAAGGTCTGGATGTATCATCATTTATTTATTCCTTCATCTACTGGAGGATATCTTGGTTTGCTTCCAAGTTTTGGCAATTATGAGTAAGCTGCTATAAACATCTCTGTGCAGGTATTTGTATGGACATGTTTTAAACTCCTTTGGGTAAATACCACAGAGCATGATTGTGGATGGTATGGTAAGAATATGTTTCTTTTGTAAGAAACTGCCAAACTGTCTTCCATGGTGGCTGTACCGTTTTTCATTTCCACCAGCAGTGTGAGAGCTCCCATCACTCCACATCCTCACCAGTATTTGGTGTTGTCAGTGTTTTGAATTTTGGCATTCTAGAAGGTGTGTAGTGGTATCTCGTTGTTTTAATTTGCATCTCCTTGATGACATATGATGTGGAGCATTTTCTCATATACTTATTTGCCATCTGTACATCTTCTTTGGTGAGCTGTCTGTTAAGGTCTTTGGCCCATTTTTTAATTTGGTTGTTTGTTTTCTTCTTGTGGAGTTTTAAGATTTCTTTGTATATTTTGCGTAACAGTCCTTTATCAGATGTGTATTTTGCAAATATTTTCTCCCAGTCTGTGGCTTGTCTTCTCATGCTCTTGACATTGCCTTTCACAAAGCAGAAGTTTTTAATGAAGTCCAGCTTACCAACTGTTTCTTTCACGGATTATGCCTTTGGTGTTTTATCTAAGAAGTCACCCTCCTATCCAAGGTCACCTAGGTTTTCTTCTGTGTTATCTTCTAGGAGTTTTACAGTTTCGAGTTTTACATTTAGGCCTGTGATCCATTTTGAGTTAATTTTTTGTGAAGGATGTAAGGTCTGTGTCTCGATTCATATTTTTGCATATGGATGTCCAGTTCTAGCACCATTTGTTGAAGAGACTATCTTTGCTCCATTGTATTGTTTTTGCTCTTTTGTCAAAGATCAGTTGGCTATATTTATGTGGGTCTATTTCTGGGCTCTCTATTGTGCTGTGTTGATCTATTTGCTTGTTCTTTTGCTAATACCACACTGTCTTGATTACCGTAGCTTTGTAGTGAGTCAGGAAGTCAGGCAGTGTCACTCCAGCATTGTTCTTCTCCGTCGACATTATGTTGGTCCTTCTCGTCGTGTGTGCTTAGAATTGGGGAAGGGGAAGTCTCTACTTGGCTTGATTTATAAATTATGTCACAGGGGCACAAAATAATTTCCTAGAGACTTAAAGAATTGATGTAGCTTATCAAGATGCCTCCCTCTAAGGAAAATTTGAATCATTTTATTTTAGACTCTGGGAGCAGAACAGTTAAAATATCAGAAGGGTAACTTGGATAGCACAAGTGGAGAGCATGAATCTAAGGGCTCTTGAGATGAGAAAAATCACATGATTCATTTCCTCAAAGACAGATTGCACAGAGATAGATATAGATAGATGACAGATAGATAGATAGATGGATAGATAGATGAGTAGGTAGGTAGATACATAGATAGATACATAGATATTAAAAAGACAATCTATATTCCAAATAGAAAAAAGTAATAACATTTAAAAAATACATTGGACACTATGCCAACCATTGTGTCTTACATTATTTCTAGTCATTGAAATCACTCAGTGAGTTATGCAGTATTATTTTCCTTTACACATGAGTCTCAGAGATGTGAGGTGATTTGTCCAAGACCACAAAGAGTGGAAATTCAGATTAGACTTACGTGGCTCTGAAGCGCGCCTTCTTTCCATTATGTCATATTTCATAGTTTTTGTGTTTTATCAAAAAAAGAATAATTTTCACTGAATGTTTGTGTTTTGTTTAATAGCTCACTATATATGTCCAGCCAGAGCAAAAGCACACAGCTGAATATGCTGCAAACATAACTAAAACTGTGTTTGATTATTTTGAAGAATACTTTGGTATGAATTATTCTCTTCCTAAATTAGGTAAGAGTCATTTTTTATTTCTTATTTTTCACATTGCCTTTGTTTTCACCTAAGTTAACTCACTTCCTCCATTTTATCATCCTTAGTTGATAGTCACCCCTAAGTCTTTTTGTTATATGCTGACAATACGTGTCCAATACTTAGTAGATGCTGAAAGATCCAGTCTGGATCCTCCAAGAATAATGTCTACACTCTGTTCTTAACCTGATTGATGTATAGTCTTTCATTTCCAAATAAAGATTAAAGTATGTGCACACAACTGCAGATGTTGATAATGAGGGAGCCAGAAATAGCAACTGAGATCAGTTGATTTCCCAATACCCACCCCGATAGCTTACATTGTCTCCCTATCATCAATGAGTTGGGAAATAATAGGGATAAATGATGCTGTCAGAGTCCCATGTGCTTCCATCTTCCCATTCTTGTACAACATTAATTCTAGATTCTCCAGAAGTTAAAATGAGACACTGGTGCTCCTTCCATAAATAATTTTTTTAATATTGGGGGCATGTTTTACTTTTAAAATAAAATAAGGTTATAATCAGAATGGTGTGACACTTCTATCAGTAGCAGAAATGCTTTATTAGTAAGCTTGAGTAGTAGTAGCAAAGACTTTAAGGGTAACACCCATATGGGTGTCTGTAGGGATGAAATTAAGGCGACAAGAAAACAAACCAACCAACAACTGACTTCTCCATTTCTGTTTCTGCCCTTACTTTGAGAAAGAATCAATGCGAAGCAACTGGAAAGCCAAATTCTCTACATGGGAATGTGACTCTGAGCAAGTTTGTAGATGCCTCATTTCTCTTCAATGGAAGTGGTTCCATTTATTGATTGGTTAACAGCTGGAGAAAGAGAAAGAACTTTTCATCAAAATCAGAATAATATTTAATAAAATGTTAAGCACATTAATTTAAAAGTCTTTTTTCTCTTTATCTCACTTTTATCGCCCAAGATAACCTGGGAAGCAAAAATCTCACAAACTTATCTCCCCCGTCTCTCCCTCTCTTTCTTCCTCCCTCTGTCCTCCTACTTCTTCTTCATACTTCTATATGCATTTTCAACCCTTTCAGAATTGACTCTGTCACAGACTTTCCTTAGAAATGACTTCTGCACTTATTATACCTCGCAAAATTAAATGCACTGGAGGTAGTTAATTATGATGTCAATACTCACCAAAGAAGTGAGTTTACAAAAAATTCCTTTATTTCAAAGATAGGTGCAAATTACACTTATAACATCATGGAAAATATTGGCCCTTGAGGGGAATACTTCTCTATCCTTTAAATGGTGTTCTTGTGACAAAATAACGAAACCTAAGAATGAAGATAACACAAAAAGGTCATGATGCCATAACCATGACCTCCATTTAAGATATATCCATTGTCATTCTTTTATAAAAAACGTTAAGAATCTTCATTTTAACCAGAAAGAAAGGACTTTTTCTTATGTGTTAAACGAAAATCTTATTTTCATTTACATGCCTCATTTAAATTATATGTAATAATAAAGAAATTACATTCTTATTATAGTTCATTAACTGAAGAGCTGTATTCTGTCCACTAATCAAGTCGAACATTTTCTGTTTGGGGATTTGAGATAGAACTGATCGATACTGCCTCTTCCTATCGGGTAGTATGTCTAAGTTTATTGGCCCCAGCAAATATAAGGAATCCAAAGTCTTGATAGAATCCAAGATTTTAGACTGGAAGGGAATTTAGAGAGAATATAATCAATTCCGTGTTGGTCCAACTAATTAAATACATACAAGTGAATGGTAAGCTATTCCATTAGTAGGGAATCAGGTTGACTTCAAATTGTACAGAATTAGAGAAAAAGTAGAATTTTATCTTCTCTAATATTCTGTATCCTTGGATAAAAATATATTTCTGTGCACTTAGAAGCTCTGTATTTCTAAGTCCTTATTTGAAAACTTCACTCTCTTATTCCTGACAGCTTATCCCCCAAAACAGATGCTGTGTGTTACTTAAGTGAAAATCATGAAGAAAAAAAGAGCTAATAAAAATGAAGTACAGAGAGGAACAAAAAACATAAAATTATAGCAGACTTGAAAAGAGCATTGCCATGAGTTTCCTTCTTTAGAAAAATAAAAGACACATTGATATCTGAAGCCAACAGGAAAGGTTCCATGGAAATTTTGAGCACATTAAGACTGAAAAGTTTGCACAAATACGTGATTGTTTTTCACTCCAAGAAATTATTTTTAGCCTTTTTAAAAAGCATTCATCCAAAGAACTTAATTTGGTAAGAAATGTTGTGAACAAGTGGAAAGAATGTATTTCTCACTGGATGCTCTCTTTTCCGTAGATCAAATAGCTATTCCAGATTTTGGCACTGGCGCCATGGAGAACTGGGGGCTCATCACTTACAGGGAAACGAACCTGCTTTATGACCCTGAGGAATCAGCCTCGTCAAACCAACAGAGGGTGGCCAGTGTGGTTAGCCATGAACTTGTGCATCAGGTATGGCATCTTAGCACCGATTAGCTTGTTTTGAGAAGTGGCTTAAGACCACAGGAATAATTGAAATTAATTATAACTTAGAAAATAAATAGCCCACTCAGAAAATCCTGCCTGAAAGTTTTTCTTAGTGCTAACATTTTACCATAAAGGAACTTTTAAGACACCTCGTTTTGCCTTTAGTAAATACGCAAGAGGCCTTCCTATAACTTTAAATGTTCTCAGGAATACCTAAGTAAAGGCAATAGACTGAGGAGAATTTAAGACCTTTTAAAAACCAGGAGAAATAGAGCAGGAAACAAATGCTAAGTACAATGCCTGCCACTTCTGTGTCAAGTGACAAAATTTACGAGAACAAATTACTATTGAAATTTTCTAGGCCTCTCTACCAAAGGCATGAGAATTTAACTCTCTCTTTATTGCTTGTAATTTCAGTGGTTTGGAAATATTGTGACCATGGACTGGTGGGAAGACCTGTGGCTCAATGAGGGGTTTGCATCCTTCTTTGAGTTCCTGGGAGTGAACCACGCAGAAGGAGAGTGGCAGATGGTGAGCCCTGGATGCCTAGGCTCCAGATCTGTTTTCCTCACGCAAAGCAGATGGAAGCCTTTGGGCCAGGACAATGGCCCAAGTGTGGGGCCAAGAGCACTGGTGAATTGGCACTTCCGTGGTGAGAGTGGGGTGGAGCGAGCTGGCTCCACTGAACTGTACTTGCTAAGAGCCCAGGCCCTAGAGGGCAACTGACCCCTACGATCTGAGGATATCCTTGGTAGAGTCACTCAAGAACACGTGTCAAGGCAGGAAAAAAATTTCTAGCTTAGACAATGCCAACTCTGCGTCCAAGAAAGTATCTGGAGTGCTAGCCTTTTGAAAAATGTCTAAGATTAATTTTGTACACGACTTACCTTACCTAAGTTGCTGAGATAGTTGGGTAAAGAGGTAAGAGTGCAAACTCAGTAGTGAGACTCAAGTTCAAATCATGGATGCATCATTTCCTAGCTGCATTACAGGGAAGGTGACTGTGAGCAAGTTACATCTCCTCTTTGAGTCAGTTCTCCCCTCTATGAAAGAACATTGTTCTGTATCTTGTAAGCTTAGAAGCTCCCAACACGTACATGTAATTACTATTACAGTCTTGTGTGTCCCTGAGGGGCCTGGAACAGAGGCTTCTGTGAACTCTACAGATATGCTTTTCCAAAAAGCTAGATGTGTTTTTATTTATACTTAGATAGTGTAAGTATTCTTCTCTGTTTGTGTCTATGAAAGTGTAAGCGTGTAGATGTGTGAAAGTAGAGGACAGGAGGTTCTGTACTGTGTAGACTACTGCCCTCTACTGGACAGAATAAAAAGACAATGTTGAACGCTTGAAGCCCTTGCAGTTTCCACAACCCACTTTACAAAGTGAACCAGTTAATTTGCAACAGTTGCTTCTTTAAAAATCTTAATCTACATCAGGGTTTTTCAACCATGGAACTATTGACATTTTGGGTCAGATAATTCTTTGCTGTGGAGGGTTGTCCTGTGTATTGTAGGATATTTAGCAGCATCCCTGGTCTATATCTACTAGATGCCAGTAACCCTCCTGTGCCAGTTGTCAAATAAAAATTGTCCCCACAAATTTCCAGATGTTCCCATGGGAACAAAGTTTCCTCTAGTTGAGAACCACTCATCTATGTTGAAAATGTCTGATTTCATAATTTATTGAAATTAAACTATATAAATGAAAAATTATTTTGTTCTTTATTTTCTATAAAGTAATCTGATGCCCTTCTTATATTCAGATATTATAAAAAATTACAATATTATATTGTATATATAATATATATTTAACATTTTAATATTCCAATTTCAGTTTCAAAAACATCAATTAAATTTCAGAAGAATTTAGTAAGTAGGCAGTTCTTAAATGACATTTAATCACATGATCCAACTCATTCATTCTTCATTCAGTGAACACCATAGAGGACCCAAAATTGAATAAAACACATTTCCTGCCCTTAAGGAGTTCCTGATTTAAGGTCTGCTAGGTGAAGGGGAAACATAAATAAAGATACATTGTGAGAGCTTGATGAGTACCCCAATGGTGGAGCCCATTTTACAGGTGAAAATCTGCTGCCCAGGAAAGGAATATAACTTTCCACTCTCACACAGACAATTTGTAGCACAACCAAGACTAGAGTCAGATCTCCTGATGCCGAGAACAAGATTCCTTCTACTTGCCTGAACATTTTAGGAGTGCAACAATGAAAATCCAAGTCAAAATTCCCTTGATTGGCAGTCATCACTTGACAATAGTACCTTGCCTCTTATAAATGGAAATCACAAAATTGGAAAATACAAACTAACATAGCATGCTCCTTTTTTGGAAAGATTTTTCATTAAGTAAGATCAAGAGAGCTTTTGATATTTTTATAACAGAGTTAAACTTCGGAATCTAATTGATTAAGAGTCAAAATCATAATAGCAGCTGATGTGTTAGTTTTCCTTCTGTCCCAGCTATGAGGCCAAATGCTTGCCAGGCATTATCTCATTGAATCCTCTGCACGATTCTGAAATGTAGACGCCATCATTACCCCTATTTAATGGGTGAGGGAACTTGCTTAAATTTACATATTTAGAAAGTGGAAAAACTGAGCTTTAAACCAAGGAAGTCTGACCATGGAGCTAGACTTCTCAACTGCTCTATTTTGCTGAGAAAAGCCAGGACTGGAATGAGAAGACGATGATTAGAACCAAAGCGAAAGCTAATGTCATCTTCAATCAATTATGAATCATCCAAATTCCAATGATTAGTTGATGGAAAAAAAATCTGCACATCAATTTTCGGCAAATCAACACACTTCCTCACTAATTCTTAGAATAAATCAGTGAGGTGATAGCATCGTTCCCATTGCATGGATATGGAAACAGGGCTTGGAAAGACAGCGCATGTCAAAAGTCACACAGAAGTAATAGACAGAATTCACAGATGCTTGTGTCTTCTTGGCCTGTCACATGGGGGCGAAGTCAAAGGCGTTATTTATAAATAGGAGAAGGGAATGGAATCAGTATAGACCCATCAGTGCAAAATATGACTAATTTGAACACCTAGTGCTTGTTTTAAATAGTTTGTCATTTATTTTCTGCCAATTTGTATTATATAAATGATATTTTGAAATATGAACCAGTTTAAAGGAAGTGCTGTATTTCTTTGGCTCATTCTGCCATTTCAGCTTGACCAGATCCTACTTGAAGATGTCTTACCTGTTCAAGAGGATGATTCTTTGATGTCTTCACACCCAATTGTTGTCACTGTGGCAACTCCTGCTGAAATAACATCTGTTTTTGATGGAATCTCCTATAGCAAGGTGGGGAAAATATGACATTGTTTTGAATGTCTTGCTGTTTAGTGGCTTTTCTTTGAGTAAATGCCTACAAATGGTAAGAATGGTCAGACTATGATAATGGGCTTTGGGAAACAGTGTAGAACTTGTTCCGAGTGTTGAATATTCAGTAGTTTGTGCTCTTCCGTGATATTGATCAATGCTGGTCATTGTCACGGAATAGTGAAACAGATTTTTAAAAATTTCTCTTTCCTCTTCTGTTTATAACAGCTCTCATTCTGATAATTGAATGTTTACACTTTAAGCATCAAATTTTAAATTTTTATTTGATTTTTTTAAAAAACACTAAATCTTCTTTTTCTGCCCATGTGACCAGTGAGAAATGCCATATATGTGGACACCTTTTCTAGTAGAATCCTTTAGTGCTTCCAATAAGCATTTAAATCCGACTCAGTTTGAAGGAATTACTTTTATCCATTTTAAATAAGATGACTTTGGTAGCGTGTTGTAAAAGGGGCATTTTAATCCATTATAATTTTATGAAATGTTGCTGAAAATCTATAGTGACCCAAAGTTTTGTTACCCATTTTCTCCCACAACATCTCCTGTAGCTTCTGCTCTACACGTATTCCACACCTGCCTGCAAATAATTTAGTCGTTTTCCACCTCGGCCTCTCCTGGCTTAACCACTATGTTAAGTTGCTCTAAAGCCGCTGCAAACTAATACACACATTTTGTTTTCCTGGGTGATAGCTAAAGTTGTGCTTAAGACACTATTATAGTTACTAAAGTAAATACTAGATCAAACTGGCTTGAGTAAAAAAAGCCTCCTAGACACAGAGTTTGAAATTTACAGCAGTGTATTTTTTATCTTCCCCTCTTATATTAGTCCTATGGCATTTTTTCAGGCTTTTTTAATTCATTTTCTTTCACATTGTCAATGATTCCTTTTGATCTGTCTGTTAAAATAAAAATTTCTAATCCACTGATGGTATATTCTAATAATTCACATGAGAAGTTTTTATTTATTGAATCAGTTTCTTCCTGAGTCCTACATACTTCATGGTTTAAGATACTAGGTCAGAAATAAATAAATCTTTGTAAGAGTTTAGCCTTCTACCAGGTACAAAAATAATTTATAATACTTAATAAATTATAGTAACAACTACTAACTTAAATGGTTTTTTGGTCAGTTACTTGAAAATTGATTTAAAATTTTATAAATAGGGCATTTTAGTACTAATGTTAAAATATGTGAAAAGAAAGTAGAGAGCAGAGGTATTCATCAGATTCTTCAGACTAAAGAAAACCAAATGAAATAAAACCACTTTTGAAGAGAAGGCTTGTATGCCTAAATGATACATCTATTTATGTTAAACTATCTGACTAGATAATTCCTCAACTATCTACTCCCCTCTGTGAAATATAATCATTTTTTCCAAAAGTTTATATGTTTAATACGTAGCCAGAATTTTATCCTGAAACTACTTTCCTTATTCATCAAAGAACATGATTTTTCTGAAACTTTGTTTCTCTTTCCTTAGGAAAACCCCATCTGCTGGTTCATTTGGTGAAGTGCAATAATTATGCAAACCTCATCACTGAAACGATGACCATTTTATCAATGTCTCTTTACCTTTTAGTTGCTTTAGAATCATAGATACATGGGGGTGTGCCAAGTGGTATTTTTATCCTAAAACCATAGAGCTATAACCATGTGATTTGGTAGAATTATCTTGAAGAAATCTCACAAATATGGTCACGAAATGCCCGTCACAATAGCTATCAGTGATATTTGCTTATTCGTTTAATCTGTGACTCTTTTCCATCATAGGGAGCTTCCATTCTGAGAATGCTTGAAGACTGGATAACACCAGAGAAATTCCAAAGAGGATGTCAGGTACCATTTATTGCTTTGATGATATTAAAAGTAAACTACGCTGATGCATGGCTGATGAGTGTTAAGATATGTGATTAATTAACGACAATTCTCTTTTTACTTTTCCTTTACTTACTCAGGGATGGATAACATAGTAAAACATAGAAGGGCGATTTCACACCTAGTTAAGTGCCTACATTTTATCAGTAATTACCATTTAGCAGAAGTTTCATGGAGAAGTTTAAACAGATTACTTAGTTATTTTTGATACTCTTTACATGTGTAGTAGTCAGCTCAGGCTGCCATAGCAAAATACCGTACACTAGGTGACTAAAACAATAGAAATCTATTTTCCCGTAGTTCTGAAGGCTGAGAAGTCAAGACCAAGACCAAGGTGCCAGCAGACCCAGCTTTTGCTGAGGGCTCCCTTCCTGGCTTGCAGATGGCTGCTTTCTCACTGAGTCCTCACATGGCAGAGAGAGAAGGAGATCTCTGGTCCCTCTTCCTATAAGGACACTGATCCCATCCTGAGGGTCCCACCCTCATGACCTCATCTAAACCTAAAGACCTGCAAGGCCTCATCTCCAAATACCATCACATTGGGCATTAGGGCTTCAGTGTATGAATTTCTGGGGAACACAATTCTGTCCATAGCAACATGATACAAAAACTTAAATCCATCAATAAAGGTCTTTCTTTACCATCTGTAAAAGGACTTTTTCCTTATTACTGGATCTGAAAATGGTTCATATAAACATTCTTATGATGACGGAGTTAATGAATAAAGAGAGGCTGCTTCCTTTCAGAAACAGAAATCACAATAAACTTTCTAAAGCATTTCACACATCCCACTTAAGCTTGTTATCCCGGTGGATGTCGCAGTGTCGTTTTTGTTCTTCTGGCAGACCTAAGCCAATTCTCTCAGGGTTTTATATCATCAGAGTGGCTACACGGTGTCCCCAAAATGGTGCTGCCTGCAGGTTGGCCCCACTGCAGCCTGGAGATGGAGCCGGAATTGTCTTCCTCCCCTTCCCTTCCGTCTGCATCCTCCTTACTGTGACCTCACAGGTAGGCAGCCTGCGCAGTGCTGTGGGCGTCTAGCCCACAAGGTAGCAAACAGGTCAAAGAAGCACCCCCGCTAAGCTTCCCAGAGGGACCCGTACAGCGATCCCCAGGACAGCGTCTGCCCCATTCCTACCGCTCTCACTGCCACCAAGGCTTCTGTGTGGCTCTACTAACGGTTCTCTTCGACCCAACACTAAAACTCCTAGGTGACTGTTCTGTGAGATATAAGACCAGGATTTAGGAAATATTTAGGGAGTACGTTAGTATATTTTACTCCTTTTGTTCATTAATAACATTCTGTGTGGACATTAGGAGGAAAGGGAGAAGCTGTGTGCCTGTTCTTACGTGTACGTTAGGACGTCACGTAACTTCTCCAGCAGCTCAAACTCACACGTCATCGTGTCTTCTCTCACTGTAAGCGCCTTTAGTAAGGAACACTGTCATCCGTACCTTTGCAGACACTCCAGTGCCTAGCAGAATGCATTCCCAAGTGTTGGGTGACCCAAAAAGTGCTCCTTGAATGAGTGAATGAATATCTATAATAAATAATATAAAATATAGAAACAAAGACAATTCCTTCTCAAACATTAACTTAAAAATCCATTTGCATAGTTTTCATTCCAGATTAAATTGTAATTGGTAAGTAACACATTCTTGGAGCCTTCAAAGCTGACTTCAAATTAAATGACTTTTCATATTACCTTTTTTAGAGAGGTACTAAAAGAGTCCTTAAAAGTGAACAGCTATTCTAATAATTCAGTAATAGTCTTGAATTTTCTTTAATCCAGTGTCTTTGCTGTAATTAATAAAAAACTCAGTCCTGACTAAAACTGATACTTCCCTAGTTAAACCTGTCTTCCTCCACTGTATCTGTGACTACGGTGGTGCTACTGACTGAACTAGAATGAACAGATAGTAACTTTCCCTGTAGTTATAATGCTATGGAATGAATTTACCAAGAAACACTGAAACACTTGCTCATTTCCTTCGATCTTCAAACACGAGCTAATATCTGAAAATAGTATATGATCAATAGAGGCCACACTCAATAAGCTCTCCAACCAATTGGAACATCCCTTCAGATAGTTCAAACATCGAACAGTATCCCCCCTCAAGTTATCATTCATGCTGTGACTGCTGCCTCTAAATGCCACAGTCTGTGACTTTGGAGTTTAAGGTCTTTCCTTTGCAAATACTAACTTTCTGCCGAAAGTGACTCTTTATTAGTTAAGCTGATGTGGCGCTAAATCTGGGCATGACCAGCTGTCTGTTCTTTCTCACACCCATCACCATCCCCTAAACCCAAACTCAGACAGCAGATGACGTGCAGAGTGAGGGAAAATAAGAGCAAAGCCATCAACTGGAGAATCTTTAAGGCTGTGCTTGTACATAAAAAAGCACAAGCGATAATAATATATGCTCATAAAATAGGAACTAAGAAATATATCCGTCCCTTCTTTTCCTTCTAGTGTCAGTAGGATCTCTGATCAGACAGGAATGGCCCAGCTGGAACATGCCCTGTCCTGGGATGCTGGTGATAGAAACCACTGTCCCTTCCTTTGGTGCTGAGCCACACCTCTAGTGAGGGCCTGCAATTGAGGGACTGAGGTCAGCGGGACATTTGGACTGCCACGACCTCCTCATGCTTATTCAAGATGAAGAGGAAATTTCTTAATATTGAATATTCAGCAGGCACTAATGTAGATAAAATGAAATTAGTACCTTTTAATATGCTGTTTATATAAATGTCCAAACATCCTCTAGTTCAGGAGAAGCAAGAAACTGCAATTTAGAAAACAGTAACAATAATAACTACAGTGACGAAAACCACACAAACTGGTCCAGGATTCGGAATTCTCTTCACGGTAATTTCAGGCAAATCTCTTCACTTCTCTAGGCACCAGTTTCGTTCACCCCCAAAATGTGGGATTTGTATAAAATAATATTTAAGGTCCCTTCCAGCTCCAAGATTGCACGTTTCTAAGCTCAAGACATTGTGAATATACAAAGAAACTCTTCTAAGTTCATTTTAAGAAGATACTATCACTAGAGATTGTCATTAACAGGTACCCATAGTTATAATTATTATTATTCTGAGTATCCAGGTATTTTATTAATATAGAACAAATTGTCTGTGCAAAACTCTGGAACAAATACCTAAAATCGCTGTAGAGTATGTGCCTTTCATTTTCTCTCCCTTCCTGTGCCTGCCTTCCAGTGGCAGTGCTGAGCAGTGAACCAATCAGAACAAAGACCAAGGCAGCTTTCCAGACTGGCCTCAACTCTCTTCTAGGCCTCTTGGAGAAGTCCTGCTAGTATATAGTTTTCTCTCTCTGTGCCTGAAGAGTAATTTAGAAGATAATGTGACTTAGGTACAGTACCTACTGAAAATTATAGCAACTTGGAGTGAAAATGATATGTGCAAAGTCAACCACTGGTTATTTTCTCTGAAGGCTGAAAGAACACTTAAAAAGCTTCTATTTCTTTTCTTCTTTCCTTTCTTTCTTTCTTTTTTTTTTTTTTTTTTTTTGGTGGGGAAGATTGGCCCTGAGCTAACATCTCTTACCAATCTTCCTCTATTTTGTATGTGGGATGCTGCCATAGCACGACTTGAGGAGCAGTGTGCAGGTCTGCACCCGGGGTTCCAAACCCACAAACCCCAGGCCACCAAAACAGAGCACTCAATCTTAACCACTACGCCACCGGGCTGGCCCCAGAGGGTTCCATTTCTATCGAGGACTTTCACATTTTGAACTGGCCAATTCCAGAGAGTAACAGAGGAGTGATACAGCAGGAACTTTGGAAGGTGCCCTGGAGAACCACAAGTGGCAGCTAATTATGAAATTCAGAGAAGACTTGGAATTTTTTCTGATGATATATCACATTATATCTGAAAACTTGTATGTATAGAGATTTTGTGAACAAAATTGCTAAAGATTTGCATTTTCAAAATATTTGAAGAGTGAATCTTTAAAGTGAATAATTTCCTCAATTTATCCATCATCATCATCATCATCATTATTCAAAAGGTTGTATAAGCGTTTCTTTAGAACAGAGGTCTGTGAACTCCTGCCTGGCTGTGGGCAACCCAGTTCACTATCCATTTCTGTAAGGTCTGCCAACAAGATCACTTCTACATTCTGAAATGCCTGAAAAGAGCAAAGAAGGATATTTCACAGCATGTGAAAGTGATCTGGAATTCAACTATCAGTGTGCATAAATAACGTTTTATTGGCAGACAGCCATGCTCCTTCATTTACATCATGTCTGAGGCTCTTTGTGCTATAGAGGTGGAGCTGAGCAGTGTCACAGAGACTGACTAGCCCACAAATCTTCGCTCCGTGGCTTTTTACAGAACAGGTTTGCTGAGCCGGCTGAGAGCCAAGCTCACCTGTTTTATCTTTGCATATCACCTCAGTCACTCGTTTGTGGTGGGCTCCTCCAATGTCTGAGGTGAGAAAACACCACATCAATGAAGGGAGGGGATGCAGCCAGTCGCGAAGGAGTCAGTACCGCTAAGTGAAGATCACAGAACCGTGGATCTCTCTTCGCAGTGGATCAGAAATACCACGGACTGTTGACTGACTGCTGAACGCTTGCTTACCTTTAAGTAACTTATTGCTTGTCCTGTAAAAATTAAACTCTTCCTCCCTTGGTCACAATGCCATTAGACTAAAAAAGAGAGCTATCTCATTAATAGGAAAAAAATATTCCTTATGCTTTACAAATAAACTATTATTTGTACAGTGTTTTTATAGGTTGCAAAATGTCTTGCATACAGTGTGTCATTGATTTTTGTTCTAGGTGCACTCGCTGTATTATACATTAGAATGAAGCATGTCTAGGGGCTTAGCTTGTGTTGCGGAAGTATGAGAAAAGCAAACATCACCTTCTGAAATACTTGTTTTCTTTCACATACAGATTTACTTGGAAAAATATCAATTTAAGAATGCAAAAACTTCAGATTTTTGGGAAGCACTTGAAGAGGTAAGGAAGAGCATATCCTCAGTTACTTCTTTGTCTGATTAATACATGACTTTTCTTTATCAGATTATACTACCATTTTATTTCCCCTTACTTGTTAGTTAATTAATCGCCATGGTTTTTAGGCAAGCAATCTGCCCGTTAAAGAAGTAATGGACACCTGGACGAGACAGATGGGCTATCCGGTGCTCAATGTGAATGACAGAACAAACCTCTCACAGAATCGCTTTCTGTTGGACCCAACAGCCAATTCTTCCCAGCCACATTCTGTGCTTGGGTAAGGATCTATAATGCATTTCAGGAGAAAAGCAGAAATTTGATGGAAATACTAGTCATTTACTCAGGTCCTGCTCATCAGCATGTGAGTGATGGGTGATGGTATAAAAGCATAGTATCTTTGGGGAAACAAAGGCGTTCCCAGGGAGCTCTGTGGTCTCCAGGTTCAAAACGGAGGACTAAGCTCATGCATCCCAGTGCTACTCTTATCACTGCATAAAGGAAGAGAAGTACGAAAAGAAAGAAACTCATACGAGTAAAGAAAATAAAGAGGTGGGGCTATATGCAACATAGAATTCTAGAAGAAGAGAAGCAGAAGGAGAAATATTGACAGAAAATGAACAAACTGAGGAAGATGCAGCCAGATAAAAGGGGACTTGCAGCAGAGCTGCCCTTCCGTACCCCTAGCTAGGCGCCGGTCTCAGGGTCGGCATGCAGAGTGGAGGCACGAGTGAGAAGCGAGGCGGAAAATAGGGCAATTAATTTGAAGTCTAGACTCAGGACAACTGTGCCAGCCAGACCCCGCCCCCTTGACTTTCCCTTCAGCTACTCCCAAGCCTTCCTCTACACAGGGCTCTCAGAAGTCTAGCAACGGCCCAAGACAAAAGTCCAGAGGGCTTTTTTTTCCCTAAAGAAATTGACTAAAAAAATGGCAGCGAGCTAAGAATTTTCACTTGGTTGAGATGCCCAGAGTAAAGTCTTCCTCATTCTGGCATTTGTGGGATGGATGGGCTAGAGCTGCCACCTCCCCCTGTGCGAGCACAGAGCTCCCAGTCCGACTTCCCAGTCAGCGGAGAAGATTCTATCAAAAACACACCTCCCTTCTCAACAGTAGAGGGATTACGTACAAGCCACCAAGAATAATCAGTTTAGTCCTTCTTTCTTAAATACGAATGGATAATCAAGGGTCAGGAGACACGTGAAAAAAAGCATAAAAGGTAAAATCCCACATGGACAAACCAAAAAACCTGTCTCTATCAGAAACGTAATTGAGGAAACAGAATATAAATTTATGAAATATATTCACAGATCAAGAAGCTACTATACTGATTAAGAGCAGAATGTCTTTGAAAGGATAAACTGACAATACAAAAGAGCTCTGGAAGATTAAATTTTTAGTTGTCAAAAAAATTAATAAACCAACTAGAAATAAATTTGGGGAATTCTATAAAAACATAGAGCAAACACACATGGAACTGGCAAATATGAAACAGAAGACAAATATGGAACGTCTAGCACCCAACTAATAGAGAAAACAGAGAAACTTGAGGGACAAATTATGTCAAAGAAATAATAAAGGACACAAGGATTCTGATCAAAAGGCTCCAGTGAGTACACAGTACAAAGAGGAAAAAACAAAAACCAAACACATACCCAGCGACATCCTCAGGAAATTTCACAAAACGAGGCTGCATGAGTTAGCATGGCATTAGACTGCTCCACAGCAACCTTGACCCCAAGAAGAAAATGGAGCGATCATCTACAATGTTGAAGCAAAACATATTTTCAACTCCAATTCTATACCCAGGTTAAACCACGTTGGAAAGCAGAGTAAAAACATTTTCAGACATGAAACCCCAGAAAATGCTTTCCACACAGCACTTCTTAGAAAGTTACAGAGGCTGCACTCCATGGGGGGTGGAGGAGGGAGAGAGAGAAAAAATAGGAACAAATCAAAAAAAGAGGAAGACGTGGGATTCAGGAAACAGTGCGTCCAAGCTAGGAAAGCCATGAAAGGAAAAGCAAGCCACCTGTGATCCCGTAGGCTCCCAGACCATGAGTAAGAGGGAGCGAGGGGGCTAAGGTGCGTGATCCCCCGGAACAAGCCATGCTCTCTCTAGTAGATAGTGTGACTGGAGGATGGAACAACTTGAGGGTTTGGTGAAGCCCCATCAGTTGGTCAACTATAGAAAAGAAAATGAGAAAAGCCAAAATCAAAGGCTGTATATAAAAATCGTAATCCAAAACCGTAAAGCAGGTAAAATGATTTTAAGTCATTGACAGAGTCTAAGACATAGGAGTCCATTGGAGCCTTACATTAGGGGAAATTTTTATATAAGTGACTGAGGGGCCATGACATCAGACCATACAGAAGGAAATATAATTTCAATACACTTTGTGGCCAACAATATATATATAGTGTAATTTCATAAATGTTATTTATTGGCTTTTAACTTTTATAATCAACCAATGGATAACATATGTTAAAATTTTGTTATAGTGGCAGAGTAGATTGTAAATACAGTCTTAAGAGAAAAAGTAGCTGACAGAAGAAAGGAGGTGGAAGCAAGAGAAGAGGTGGAAGGAAGTGTCCGGATGCTAATTCAGTGGTGTGCGGAGCTAGCTTCTGAAGGAGGTGCTGGCCTGTGGGAAGGGTGCAGAGGGAGACTGCGGGTTTTCAACAGCAGTTTTTCTGGTTTCTTGATTAAGGATGTTTTTATTTAAAAATTGCACAAATGAAATTCTCCTGCACATTTAAACAGCAATTACAAACTAATATCAATCAAATGCTCTTGCATTTACGTCATTTATAAGAAACTTCCAAACATCACTACTTTAAATTTTATTAAATTCGATTTATAATTTCAAAATACAAACACCTAAAGATGTAGATTTATATATCTAATTTTTTAAAAACCTTCCTATACAGTTTTATGAATCTGACAAATTAAAACTCATAAATATAGTATATCAAATTTCCTGGGCATTTTCAACATATTAAAAATCAAACCCTGAGCCAGCCCTAATCGCCTAGTGGGTAAAGGTTAGCATGCTGTCCTTCAGCAGCCCGGGTCTTATTCCTGGGCGTGGAACCACATCACTCATCTGATAGTAGCCACGCTGTGGTGGTGGCTCACATAGAAGAACTATAAGGGCCTACAGCTAGAATATACAACTATGTACTGGGGCTTTGGGGAGGAAAGAAAAAGAGAGGAAGATTGGCAAGAGAAGCTAGCTCAGGGAGAATCTTTCCTAGCAAAAAAAAAAAAAACCCTTAACTTTACAAAATCAGACTTTCCTAGACATTTAAACATGTCTACAGAGTTAAAGTGTTCTAAGTATATCATTTAAAACTACAAATCCAATATGTCATTTCTTCTAATTTGCTAGACGTTTTTGAACATTTCAAATGTTGTAAATGCTGACAAAACATGTAACACAGCCAGTGATCTCAAAACTTATCACACATGTGAACACACTTTGTACAAAAGTCTTAATACCGTATCTATTTCTATATAACTAAATAGTTCTCTTGGTATACATTTCTGGGGTGCCAACC